TCGCTTCTAAAGATTTTTTAAGTTAAAATACAATTTGCAGTTAAAGAAGGGGAAAGGCTTACTGCTAAATATGGTATTTTTTAGCATACTTCCTACGAATAGCTCTTGAGAAAAATATGAATATATGGAATATATCACTCCGGTGATTTTAAGTAAAAAGCCAAATATAAAACATTTTAAATAAAAAAGTTTGAGCAACTAATTATTGGACGCAATTAATCACTTTAGGTTGATCTAATCTAGATTGGCTTCCAGGTGACATTTCCCCTAAAACTGGAGGTGTTGGATATGCTAAACGGCCTTTCCACATGATGACGACTCGCACTGAGAGTAGAATGTAAATGTTGCCGAAATTTTAATTAACATAAACTTTCAAAACAATAAAGGTCGGATTTCTGAGGACCATTTAAAATGTCTACTATAAGATTTCGTAAGAAAAATGTTTTTTGGGATATAACAAAGTTCTCGAGCATGCTGAGATCGGACTTAGTAATGATTTAACTATTTGAAACCATGTTTTTAAACGCTACGTACATCCTGAAGCTAAAAAAAATGTCTACAATAAACCTTAATGACTCAAATACCACCATGATGTGGAATATTTTTATCATTAAATCCTTAAAAAAAAATACAAGAAAACAGTTTTTTTAATAGTCTTGGCTGATGCTGAGACAACTAAATATCTTAATTGATTCGACTTTAAGCCGAATTCAATATTTAAACCTTTGTAAAGTAAAACCTTTGACAAATTAATAGTGCACTCAGGTAGGTCGTCAAATTCAGCTGAATCTAAAGAAACAAACGTTAGTAGTCTGGCGCTACTAGGGCTAATGGGCAGATTGATTTTAGGAAGTTTAGGACGTTCCCACGCCTTTCTCACGAGGAATGCAGCTGGTGCTTTTACTACCTTTCAGAAGCTTTGAACTTGGCCATTTGGAGAACTTATGGAAGCGAGAAATAAAGGCCTTTTATCCTTCAGAAGCGGATGGGAGCTAGTGGCCATAACGGCTGACTACACTTGCTTACAACTTGGGGGGTTATATAAAGTTAATATTACAAAAAAAAATTGTTTTTTAAATTTTATTTTCTTAGTGTATATATATTTAAGAATACACACACAGGAAATTAAATACCATTCCGGTGAATATTTAAAAAGCTACACGGAAATTTAAAAGGCGTTTCAGAGCGATTAAAAGTACAAATACAAACTTTTAACGGGTTTTTCTCAAAATGGTAATTTCAAAGTCGGTGACCAACATTACTCGAAATCGAATAAACCGATTAGTCTCAAATTTTAACACGAACTTCTTAAAAATATTTTTTTATATATGAACAAATTGTTAGATCAATGAATTCGGCCTTTTAACTGTATAACCCCTTAAAATCGGTCAATGCCCTGTCCGTGACAAATTTTTTTTAAATTTGATGCCAATTTTGACTTGTTGGATTTGTTTTTAATTTTTTCTTTTACTGTTTTTAAGCTTTCCTTTTTAAAAATAAAAAAATACGTTTTCCTTTTCATTACCTAAATCGTCAAGAGCGTATTTTTATTGAGTGGAAATTTGACAAGTCGGCCACCAAAAGAAAAGTACGATTTTCAAGGATCTTTTTTGTATTTTGTGTTCACATTTGGGATGAGTATGGGAAATCACTGAGCGCGCACTGAAAAACACGTTTTAAGTCAAATATTTGTTAAAGTTGTCTTTTTTTATTATGTAAAAAAATTAATTAATAAATGTAATTCATTTATAAACACAAAGACACAAAATCCTCCTCTCTAAACGAGGGATTGCAAATATCAGTAACTGTTTTTTTATCTATAAATTATTGAAAACTGATTATTTAAAAACAAAACTTCATTTGTGTTCGGTGGGGGCAGCACAACTTTTACCCCAACTGAAAATGTATGTTTTATTCGTTTGAGCACCAAAAAACACGGCAAACAAATATTAATAGTTATAATCACATTAAACATGCACCACAAATAAAAATGACAAAAAAACACAATCTTCAACTGTGATGTCTATTTTAATAGGATCATTTTATTTAAACTTTTGTAATGTTTTCAAGCAAGTGCTGTACCATCTCTTTAATTATATTTTCTTCGCAAATGTGTGAAGCACAACAAAACAAATAATTGATAGTAATCGTTTTTTTTTATCGATTCATTCTTTTTTATTTTTGGCCTATGGGCCGACCACTATGCGTTACTTTATTAGAGATTCTAGTCCTATATGTATGTATTTATAGGAAATCGTAGCAACATTAAAATTCGATTACAAGAGCACCATGTCCGACCGAACCGTTTCTTCTTAATGTAATTTCTTAAGAAATGTTGAAAACGCGAACAATTCTCTCGTTCGTAGCCATTTTTATACCCTTGCAGAGGGTATTATAATTTCAGTCAGAAGTTTGCAACGCAGTGAAGGATATATATATATTCTTGATCAGCATCACTAGCAGAGTCGATCTAGCCATGTCCGTCTGTCCGTCCGTTTATATGCAAACTAGTCTCTCAGTTTTAAAGCTATCTGCATGAAACTTTCCCAAAAGTTGTCTTTCTATTGCAGGTAGTATATAAGTCGGATCGAGCCGGATCGGACGACTATAGCATATAGCTCCCATAGGAACAATCGGAAAAATAATTGAAAAAAAATTATAACTTTGCTGTTTTTTAATTTTTTTGTTAGTTCTTCGACATATAGTATTGGCTAAATATTTCAGAATTACGGTTTAAGTTTCATCAAAATCGGACGAGTATATCATGTAGCTCCCATAGGAACAATCGGAAAAAAATGAACAAAAATTATAACTTAGCAGTTTTTAAATTTTTTTCTTAGTTCTTCGACATATAGTATTGGGTAATTATTTCAGAATTACGGTTTAAATTTCATCAAAATCGGACGACTATATCACATAGCTCCCATAGAAATAATAAAATTATATAAAATAACTATCTAATATTTGAGCTGCAAGTCATTATAGCTTCAATGTTTTTAGACATATTAGCAAGTAAATCATAATTTTAATGTTTTAAAAAATATTTAATTTTTGCAATAGCTGCAAGGGTATATGAACTTCGGCTTGCCGAAGTTTGCTTCCTTTCTTGTCAAGGTTGAATTCAATATAAATTATTTGCTTACTACTATAGTATAGACCAATGCAGTTCATTTAGCTTTTTATTTATTTAAATTTGTTTTAAATTCCAAAAGATTTTAAGATTTTAAATTTGGAATAAAAAAATAAATAATACCGCTAGAAAGCCATCAAAGTCATTTAAATAGGGTTTTTAATGACATTCCCAAAACAACCTAAACATGCACGAATGATTTTAAACAAAATAGTGGACGCTGAAATATTTTTAAAATAATTTAATAATAATAAGAAACCACACTTATTTATCTCCGAAAAATTTATTATATAACCATTTAGTGATACATTACTATATGTATATACTTATATTTGCATAAATATTTCTTATATAAATTTAAGGGCCTCGGCTTTTAAAAGTGAATACTAATCAGTAAAAAGAGTATGCCGATTTAAGTCGATATATGAAATGTACTTTTAAGATATTATATTTTCTGTCGAACACAATACGGATATTTTACTATTGTTAATATTATTATTATGGTATTGAGGAGCTTACGTTAAATCTATGTTTTTGTATTTTCTTTTTTAAATTAGATAAATAAATATATTTATATAGACATATACATTTATAATTTATTTATCGTTTTTTTATATATTTCTGTCCTGCAATAATTGTTGGTTTTAATTTGTTTATTTATAAAAGTACGTTTCTAATTGCATTTTTAAAATATTCGTTGTAAATACATTGGCGGCCAATAATAATAAGTTAAATGTAAAACCTTACAAACTGTGTAAAAAAATATTTTCTCCCGTTTTGTATGTATGTACGTATGTACATAATTCTTAGAAATAATTTTTTAAGGAGTTAAATCAAAATGTTTTTGAGCCTACAAGAAATGTTCGGGTATTTCAAAAGAACTAAAATATGACGGCCGTCAAAGTCCCAAAAAGACTTTATCATACTTGCACTTAGTTTTTGATAGTCGGTAAAATATTATGAAATTTCTTACTAATATTTAAACGTCATTTATTTCTTTCGAACCTTTTTATGGTGTTACAGCACAACCTAAGAAGCAATATTTTCGTTTTTTTTAAGAATTTGTTGTGGAATTAGAATAATCTCATTAGACTTTTTCTTTTTTCTGGAAATGGTTTTTGTGTCCATGTCCATGTCCATGTCCATATGTTGTTTGAACAATTTCTGCGGCGATAAATAAATTGATAACATACAAAATCATATGTGTTGCTCAAACTTATTGTGGATGTTTCGATAGTGTAAGCCGATCCAGCATAAGTTTTCGAGTATTATTTTCAGGTCATTAAGCTTTGTAAAATATTTATAATAAATTGAAATTGTTGCTGGGCTGATTTACATTTTTACATTTATTCAGCCTTTACAACCAGGGAACGCCCTTTATCAATCTAAGTTATATCTTTAAAACTCGAAGGGTTGGGTTGTCAATATTTCTCATTTCGAATTTTAGTATATAGTATTTATTCCTCTGTTTCCCTTTTTCCACAAGGGTAATGATTATCTTCTCAAAATAGTATATAAGTATGTACTTTATCATCAAACATCATATAAGATTCCAGTTTATTATAAGTCTAAACAAGCACCCTAGATCTTTTTTTAATATTTTCAGAAAACAAAACTGGTAATTAATTATACGTCCTAAAATATCTTAGATATTTTGTTTAAATACTGATTCCTCGCATGTATGAGAACGCATTGAATTCCTTACAATAGTATCTTACTTAGAACATTTGTTAGGGCTAAGTAATATATATATAACATAAATATATATATATATATATATATATAAATAATGTGATATATATATATTTATTTATTTATATATAGTAATATATATGTAATATACATTTACATATATTAATATAGTATATGTATAAATGCTCATTTTTTATAATTCTTGTATGAAATTAATTTACTCTAGTAATAGTTTATAAAATAATGTAAAATGTTCATTTTGCGCGATCAATAAACCTTTATTTAGTCTCACTCGTTTGAATTTTTGACCTTGCAGATTTTAATTTAAAATTATATACATTTAAAAATATATAAGCCTCTATTATAATTAATCGGACTAGATTGATCAATATACTCTTGGGACACAGTTTTAATAACACAGGTCTAAAATAATTTTAATATAAAACATCAAAATTTAAACAGAACTCTAATATTTTGGGGTTTTTAACATTCGCGCAATTTACCTTGTATTATAAATATTAAATATGATTGACTATAAATGTATAAGTCTTTTTATTCACATTAATCGTAAGCTTTATTAAGGTAGTTGTCACATGTGGGTCATACATCGTATTTTTAAATATAAACAACTATTTGTATTTGACTTTATCTATTGATATAATGTATGTTATGTGCCGATCTTAATATTAATGCTAATTTATCAGTCAATTTTTATTTTTCAGAGAATTAGTGTCATAACATTTACTTATACGATCCAATATACTTTTATATTACGTCTGTGTAAATGTCATTTATTTAATGAGAAATTTCTATTGCTAGTTTCCCTTGGGATCTACATACATTATGTGCCTTTAGAAATTTTTCTAGAATATAATAAACAACTAAATCAAGAGTTAATTACTACAATTCTGTTAACTGAAGTCTGAGTTATTAACTTGAAATGTTAATATGAAAAGCATAGTTATAATAATTTTATTTTCAAAGAATTTGAACAAAAACAGATAATGCACCATATTATAAGTCTAAGGTAATAATTTAAGAGTTCAATTTTCAAATAGTTAATAGTAGTTTAGCGAAAATATTTCTCGGAAAGAAATCGTTACTGTTTTTTATAAAATATTTTAGGTAAGTGGCTCAAAAAATTTTTGAAATAAAAACAAACAGCTAAATTTTTTTATGATTGCCAATCTTTTGAAATACTTTTTTAAAAATCTGTATAATATTTCACTGAGAACTAGTCTAACTGAGTTTCAATCGGAGATGACTTGGAACCGTCCTTAAACTGATGTTAAATTAATAATCCCTGTGAATGAAGATTTGTTTTGATTCGCCCCATATAAATCAACACTGGTTTACAAATTTAAATCGACAAAGTCTTCCAGAGATCAAACCTCGATTTCCCGGTGCAGTTGGGCTCCCTTATTCAAGAAATCACACTAAACATTTTTTATATGGTACATTTTTTTTTGGTTTCCTAGCATAGATGATAGAGCTCGACGAAGTTTCAAAATGTTGCAAAATTAAGCCACCACAAATACATTTTTTAAAAACATCAAATTTTTATTCTAGAATCTGTATTTTAAGAAAAAAAAAAGGCTTAGTTTAGGTTTAGGCTAAGTTAAGCGTAAAATTAAAATTTGGTGAAAACACGTTTTCAAATACCACTTTGATGTTAATAAAAAATCTGACAAAAACAACGAAAACAGAATCCCACTTTTTTAAATATAAGAGCCTGCAAAATCATTGATGAAAACATGGCATGAAAACATGTTAAAAACGCTATTTGCACTTAAAAAAAATTGCAGCATACATAAAAATGTTGAGTATAATTTTATAAATCATGGGTCAAGTGCCCCGCAAAAATAAAGGTTTGATCTCCGGGGAAAATCCCCCTAAATCGGTTTAAATTTTGAAGCCTGTGTAATTATGTCATACAAAAATTGCATTTAAAACATTTTGTATCTTTCTGGAATATCTGTAGGGTAACTTCGTGTGAAATATTGCACCGTTTATTATTTACAACGAACAAAAGGTGTAACCTTTAAAAACAAATGGTGAGTACAGTTGTATTTGTCTTCTAATTAAAAGCCATTTTTCATGAAAATAACCTCAAATACATATTTAAAACTTTTTTTTAAGGTTAAAAGACACTCGAGTAATTGTACCGAGACATCGCGTGTTCTTGCTTTTTAGTTTTCTAACTTCAAAACTTAAATAAAGTGCACCAGGGAAAAAACAAACTTCGTAAAACAGAAGTTAATAAATAAATAATAATAATAATCCAAATGTTTTAATCAATACTACTCTTACTCCGCCATTTTATATTATTAAAAATTTATAATACACTATTGGGTTAAGGAATATGCTGAAACAAAATTTCAACGGATAGCGTAATCTTATAAAAACTTCTATTAATGAAGCTTCGAAAATGCAAAAATAGAAAACAAATTGCGAATTCTAAGAGTTCTTTGGATTTAAGTCTTGATTTTTTTTTTGTATGATAGCTTTTTAATAGTATTAACTCTTCTATAAACCTATATTCGAGCCTTAAGCCAAACAAATCTAGGGGATGGTCGGTCTATTTCACTTGTGTCATGCATTTCGTTATTATCATAGAACAATTTCATTTATTTTACTTATAGATACTATGCTCCTACTTGGATACATGTATTTCAGTATAAATAATACAAGTTGAAATGTGTTGCCATATTCCGAAATCGCTTTTTAGGTGGATTACAGTGTGTTTTGCACTGATAATTTAGAATAAGCTTCTATTTTTAAACCCTTACAATTTCAGTCAAAAGTTTCCAACGCATTGAATGGCGCTTTTCCGATCCCATAAAATAAATATATTCTTGATCAGCATCAGTTTTAAAGCTATCTTTGAAACTTTGCCAAAAGTTGTCTTTCTATTGCAGGTAGTATAAATGGGAACAAGCCGGATCGGATCAAGAAATCAATATCCCTTTTGAAGAAAATCTAATCTATATAAATAAGACATTGATATCAGACAAAATTCTGCGAGATGTAAGCGGATACGCAGATCCAGCGGAGAAGAGATTGAACTTTTTATGATCTGACCATCCGTTTTTTTGTTTTTCTTTGACCAGTATTAAAACACCCTCAACAAAGTTAAAAAAAACCAATGTTAGAACTCTTTTTTAAATATGTAATCGCCTGTTTCTTCTATATGAACGTCTTTAATTTATATACCCTTCCAAAAGTTTACAACGCAGTTAAGAAGACAATTCGGACATAATATATATATGTAAATAATCTTGATCAGCATCACTAGGAGAATCGATCTATCCATATCCGTTTGTCCAAGTTTTTCTTCTACTGCAGGACTTTATCATAAAGCTTCCATTGGAACAACCGGAAAAAAAGAACTTTGCAGTTTTTAAATTTTGTGGTAATATTCTTCGGGGTTCAGTAATAGTTAAATATTTTAAAGTCATCTTGATAGCTCTAAATCTGAGGCACTAATTTGCGTCAAAACGAGCGGACAGACGGTCACGGCGAGATCGGTACCCCTAGTGATGCTGATCAACAATATACGATATATATAAAATTAAAAATGTCTCGTTTATACATACATGTCTACATAACTTTTGTACCTATCATTAGGTTTCTGTAAAACATATTAAATTTAAAAAAATATCCGCTCGACTTCATTCCTTTAAAAATAAGTCATCAAATTGAAACTCCAATATCCAAAACTGATAATAAAATTGAATCTTTTCTACTAACTAACATTATTTTGCTAAATTGTTGAGCACAATTTTTCGCAAATGCTTTATGTAAATAGCATTAAAACTGAGAGACTAGTTTGCGTAGAATCGGACGGACAGATGCTGATGCTGATCAGGAATATATATCCCCTATAGGATTGGAAATGTCTACTTCAAACTTGCAAACTGCTGACAGAAAGTATAATACCTTCTGCGACTGTACAAGTGTCAGAAATGTGTTAATGACACAAACGTTTGCAAATCAAAAGTCCATACATCAAATATTGGTAATTAAACCAAAACAAAGTTTAAATGAAAAAGCAACAAGTTGTTATCTACAATTTACCTACGCATAAGTTCAAAAAACTTGCATTTGCATTTGAACTATTGAACCAGAAATAATTTAAGCTGATATTAGACTGCAACAATGCAATTCCATTTCTCAAAATTGGAATTTTGTATTGGCTGTTCTTGGCTTCTGTTCTCTTTTGCTTGGTTTTAGCGTTGTTCTGTTTGCGGACGGGTATAAATAATAAAAAGTCCATTATAGTGTTTAGATAACAATTAGAATTTTTCGAAATGCTGCAGCGTGCAAAAGCGTCTCAAAAGCGCGTGCCGTCTTAAATTAGGTTGAAATGCTAATGTTCCAGGTCAAACCATTTTGTAAGGAATAAAAAACTACATTTCAGTGCACTTCACGGAAGCCACAAACAAAAACATCAATAAATTACAAAACCAACGAATTAAACGTATTTAAACATAGTCAATGATTTGAGAAACTAATACAACTAAAATTATCCTAGAATGCGCATTGCATGGTAAACAATAGAGTTGCAAACCGGGCAAACTGCCTCCATGGAAATGCAGATTTGGTTTGCGCACTCCATGCAGAACATGTTGTGTCCACACGGGACCAAAGCAGTGGTAACATTGTTTTCATTACAAACGAAACACTCGCGGTGAATTAAGAACTTGTCCGGGTTAGACTGCAACTGAATGGATTGTGGCTTTTGCTGGGTGTTACACACAGTCGGTTCTTTTGTGAGGTGCATGTTCTTTTGATTTGCAGAATGTTCGGCGAGGCCCAAGAGCGAGTCCGTAGGACTAATTGAGATAGTGGGGGAGCAGTGAGCTGTCGGTATGATATTTGCGGGCTGATTCCAGATACTGGGCGAGTCGCCTATGCCCTCATCCACGTCGATTGAGTCGCTAATATTCTTCCATATATTCAGTATTTCTGGAGGTGTGTTGGCGCTGTTGTTGGTGCTCTTTGTTGAAGTTGTCGAGGAAGCAGATGAACAAGATCTTGTTAAGATGTTTGCATTGGAGTTGGAATGAATCGATGCGGATGCGGATGTGGATGTGGGAGGGCAGAAGGTTAATGTTTTGTTAGACGCATTGCGGAATACAACATTAGCTTTGGCCAGGGGAACGGAAACTTCGTTTGCAGGAAGATGCTTATCGGACACTCTTGTTGGTGTCAAAGTTGCCATCATTTCCACGTCAGAGAATTCGGTTTTCTGAAAACAGTGGCCAGCATGATAGCCTGGCATGGGCTTTGAAGAGTTGCTACCATTTCCCACAATCTTCATTGAGTTATTTGCGTAGTCCTGTGCAGACGGCATCGCATTTTTGTATATAGACGACAAAATCTCGGAGTTCAAATCATCATTTAGTATCTGGGTTAGCGAATTTATTGTCGGCAGGACATTTGCCTCGAACTCATTTGCCTCAATCAAGTCACTACCTGGCATAGCACCGGCGTCCCCGCTTCCAGATCCGGCCCCAGTTCGGAGGGCAATATGAGCTTCTATCTGCTTTCGGGCAGTGTCTACGTTGTCCGGCAAGCCAGTCACTTCAAAAATTGGCTCCTTTTCGCGCGACGGTGTCACAATGTAGGTCTGAGTCTCTTGCTGAATGTGCTTGATCGTAGCGCCTTTGGGCCCCACCACGAGTCCCACCACCCGATAGGGCACACGTACCTGTATGGTTACCTGTCCTGGCATGCATGGGGGTCCAGACTGCATGCGTGGAACTGCACCAGCTCCGGAACAACTCGCAATGCCTACTATGCCGGTGCTGGGGCCGTCGCTCATCGGCTTGCGCGATGCTCGTATTAGGCTGAAGTGGTCAGCAGCGGAAAGGATTTCCCGCTTGGCCTTGTTCACATCTTCCTTCCGACCAGTCACTACGAACACCGGCTCCTCTCCTCGAACTGGTGTCTTGATGTAAGTGTTGGTCTTAGCCCTCAATGCTTTGATTTTGCAACCTAAAAACGACAACAAGATATTTATAAAAATTTTTTTATTTTTTTTTAAGCTTAAGGTGCCGCAGTCCAGCTATAAGATACACGTTGCTCAACCCGCATCGGTTGGTCAAAAATCGAACACAATAAGAAGGGAGCTAAGTTGGCAATACTGTAAAATTAGTTTATCGTGTTGCAGCTGTATGAAAGCGTATAAAAATTAAGTTATTTATCCACCATATAGCTTTTAAGCAAAGTGCTCGGCCGCTTTAAAAATATACAAATTAGTTTGAAAGAATCAATTTCAAATTTAAACAAGAAAGGAAGCAAACTTCGACAAGAAGAAGTTCATATACCCTTGCAGCTATTGCAAAAATTAAATATTCTTCAAAACATTAAAATTATCATTTACATGCGTATATGTTTAAAAACCTTGAAGCTATGATGATTTGCAGCTTAATTATTCGATAGTTCCTATGGCAGCTATATGACATCGTTTTCCAATTTTAATAAAATTAAAAGCATAATTCTGAACTGTCAAATTAATATTAAGACAAAAAAAAAAATAACAATTAAAAATAGAAAAGTTACATTTCAAAAAAAATTGTTTATATATTTTTATTGTTTCCATGGGAGTTATATGATATAGTACATTTTTATTAAATTTAAACCGTAATTGTGAAATATTTAACTATTACTATATGTCGAAGAAGGTTATATTTTCTTTTCATTTATTTCAGAACTACGAACAATGATGTGTAACAATAGGAACGATAGAATAATTTAGAAGAAAATCATCATATATTCCCCGTTGTTAAACATGTAGGCATAAAAATCGAAATATTGTCTTCTTAAAGGAAATTTTATTTTTAAAATAGCTGCAAGAGAATATGAGCTTGGGCTTGCCGAAGTTTGTTTCCATTTCTTTTTGTTTTTAACAAATTTTGAAATTTTTTTATTAAATTTTTAAATTTTGTATCCTTTTTATTTGAACTACGGGCAATAAGAGCATTCAATACTGTACTGTATTTTATTTAATTACCAAAGAACTACGAACTTCAAAATTGTTTTCATAAAATAGAGGAGTTGTGGACGCATTATCTGAGCTCACTGAGGTTAGCCACTCATTGCTAAAAAAAACAAGAGTGAACACTATGCTCGAACTCCGTTTTCCAAATATCCAGTGACGAAGGATAAAGCTGACCCGATAATCGATTAAATATCGTAAGAATTTGGAAAAGAATAATTAAATTCCTGAATGATTGAAGAAAATGGAAATGTCTCGCAACTGAAAGTCATAAAATATCTGATGCTGAAACCTATGAAGTTTACTTTAGTAACGCTTTGGTGATTTACTTATGATCATATATTTTGAACATTAATAGGTTTGTTTAAAATATATAAAAAAAAGTCGAAAATGCTTAAATATGCTGAGAGCAAAATGATAAATTTTATTTTAAAAAATGTTCTTCATGTTTTATATAAAATCAGATGTCTACTTATGACATTAGTAGCATAAAAATACATAAATGAGTAACAAAAAAATCCTATTATCCATTACACTTACCCTGTCTACCGACTATTTCGGCCACATGTTCGGAACTGGGTACTGGAACACATTCGGTCATGTTTTGCGACTTCTTCGATCGATCTTCTAGGCTGACGGTGCCGGCAACGGGTAACAAGAGGCAACTGGATGCCGAAGGAGGCGGCAGGGAGCTATCGGTTTTGGAGAACGCGGCCACTCCATTGATGGCGCCCATCTCGAAGTCGTTTTGTGCGGTTAGGGGTAGCGATAGGGCTTGAGCAGGTTGTGCAAAGCAAGTTTGATTGTCATTGAATCCGACCAGGGACAGTTCCAGCGCCAGTTGCAGTGTTCGCGGATCGTCGGAGAGTGGAAGAGACGCAGCATTGACTTTGGGCTCCTCAACCAGTTCGTGGTGGTGTACGGGGTTCGATTTGTGGATTGACTCCTTCGCATTAATGCTGCTCATGATCTTCGGAGTGACTTGGGTCGACATGGCAATGGCAGCAATAGCACTCTTGTCCTTTTTTTGAAGCGTAACAAAGTTCGCGGACAGCGAGCAGCCGCCGACACTCTCGCCCGGTAGAATACCGCTTTCGCGCAATGAGGAGGAGCTCGATGACACGGAAGCCGATGAGAAGTTGAATGATGAGATGGAGCTGGATGCTGAACTAGAACTCACTCTATTGAAGCCACTGAATTCGAATTCCGAGTTGATGTGTGCTGCAGACATGTCAATAAACTACAGGACTTCCTCGTTTAGCCACATTTTCAATCACCAAGTCACTTCTTAACTCCGTGCGCTGGCTAAAAAATATTTGCAGTGTCTTCCCTTAGTGATTCTCTGCAATATATAAAAAAGACCGAAAGTGCACTTGGTATACATACGCATGTTTATGGGAGTAATTGCTACACACGAGTGTAATGGCATGCCTATTCATCATCCATGGGTATATACTTGGTAGAATGTCACACTCAGGCGGACTTACTCGGATTGCAGACAAATTTTTAAAGGCAAATAGCTTCGAAAAGGCAAAATTAAAGTGTTTGCTCTCTCTTGTCATCCGAATCTTGTTATCCGCGATGCCACAAAACACACCGAATACCGCGCTCATAACCAACCCCTAACACACAACTTTTGTGTCACTCACCCCTTGTAACTTCTTTTATGCTCCCACCCCTGTCTCAGACCAACAACAATATAGGCATATAAATAGCTGATCTGTAATTGAAATGTAACATTTTGGCCAACACTTTCCCTGCAATCAGATCAACTGGACAAAATGTACCACAGAATATCACGTTTGTGTTATTTCACAAGCAACACTCAATGGCACCCAAGTAAAGTGGCTCAAAATTTACGTGTGTACACTAGAAAACTTATATGGCCAGGTACACATTCCGGCAGTATTCCGACACGCCTTTGAGTACATATGCAGAGACAACGAAAAAATGACAAAAATACGAGGGAAAGCCCCTCCGGATAACATTCTCTACTGCAAACACAATTTATAAGAATAAAATACTGTTATTGTTGATTTAGCGCACCAGAATTCAATCAAAATTACTTTGCCGGCTATCAGCATTACATAGGGAGCACAATAACCAAAAATGACAACTATCGATAACTTAGTGCTGTGAGACGTTGTGTATAATGTTTCTCTAATAGAACATTTACACTGAACCACATCCCGTATTCAAAATTCACATCACAATTTTTATTTTTATTTCACATAAGGGCAAATCGAATACATCAGTTTTATTTGTTGCCCAACAGGATTATATGCGTATTTTGTTTATTTATTCGTATTATTATTTTGGTTTCTTCTATCATTTTTGTTTATTAAAATTTGCCATATTCAGTATTAAATTTAATAATATGGTGGTGGCGATCAACGCTTTTTGCCACTAAGGTGCATCTAAAAGCACACTTGTTTATTTTGTTTTACGTAAAATATTTTTTGTTTATTCACTGCTGCCACCAGTCCTCTGTTGCCGTTCGTTGTTGGTGCTCTGCTGTTGCTCTGCCTCTGCTTCCGCCTTTCCTCCTGTTCGCAAAGGGCATCTATTTGCGCCCAAATTTCGTAGGCTGTGCTTAAAAATGGTGGAGGATCTGAGTTGAGCCTTGCCACCAGTGCAGATCGTTTTCGCCGATTATTGGCGAGCTGACCACCTCTTTTTTTTGGTCTGATAACCAGGGGAATATGAGTCCTTACTTCGTATTGTTTTATTTGCCGCCGTCTTGCAGCAAGGACCTCGGGTTGCCTAGCCTTGTGCTGCTCATTAGTCAGTGGCTTCGGACATTGATTAAGTGTATTCTCGATTGCCAGTGAGTGCGCAGTAGTAATTTCTTGTCTTTTATTTTGCGAGATTAAGCAGGATCGCCATGTAGTAAAAGGCGAGAGGCTTGACCCGTACTTATAGGGAAGATTTACATTGGAGCTTATGGCTAGGTAAGGTTTACATGGGGGTATTCTAATGGTACGGTATTTTAACGTTTAATAGCACTCCATTTATCTTATTTAGATTTGTCATATGATCGAACAGTGGGTTTCTGGTTATGCTAAAGTTGGCCAAAACCAATTTTTTCAAAATTGTTAAAAGAACAAATTTTCCAGCAAGTTTTCTTAACAGAAGGTTAATCTTCAATGTTACGCTATTAAAATAACATGTGTTAAAACAGTTTAAGTTTTAAAATGTATAATAAGATTTTAAATTCTTTTTAAGTTAATTATTTGAAATGAGTCTTAAGAACTGTTTCTGTATTCGGTTTATTGCTTTAAAGAAACAAGCTGACAAAGTTGTGCGGGACGGCCGCAATGCAATGCTTCGCACAACCGCGACAGCTTATGTGTCCAGTCCTCTCCTCTCTCTCTCTGTTTACTAACAAACTAGGCATCACCACCAATGGCAGTTGCAGGAAATGCGATGGCGCTGGAACCTGCGAGTCCTTGGAACATCTTATCTGTAACAGCCCAGCTCTCTCAAGGGCATGGAGAAATACCTGGGCTCCCCGGAACTGACATCGCTAGAAGAAGCCTCCAGAAGAATGCTGGGAGAACTACTTACCTTCGCCAAAAGCACCGCGATCCTCAACGACTTCGACACAACTCACACAGCATTCATAAAACATTTTGTATATAGCAAATACTTCCACGACCATTACCACCCACGCCCCAACAGGCTTTATTTAAAATGTGTACTCTTTTTACCTGTATTTACTTTATTTTAAGTAAATAATATTATTTTTATTATCTTAGAAAATACTCACAATTTTATGTTATAGCTTACACAAAATATTTTTTAAAATTACTCAATATGTATTTATATGCTGCACGTATTCATCTGCATCAACGAAGACTGTATGCATGGATGGGATAACTCTAACAAATAACTAGTATAGGAACAATTAACAACAAAACATATATATGCGGAAATTTTTGACAATCATTTATTCATCTTTGTTTTATGAACTTTAAAAGATCGTCAAAGCTTAGACCATGGACGAATTCTATTGAAAATAAAATTAAAATATCAAAACTACATTTTGATAAAGCACAACTTTTAGGGGAATTAATGTAAGTCTTGATTATGAACTAACATAGACTTACCCTAAGACTGTAACTCTTATAATCTCTGTAAGTTTTGTCAGTCATGACTCATGACAAGCAAGCAGTTTTGAATCTTTTGCGATCGCGAACTAAAATTTAAAAGGGAATATGGGAGGGGTCTGTAGGATGCGACTGTTAATCTTATTTCATTTTTGCTACTTCAACAATTTCTGATTTTAACGAAATGCTCTTAGGTGACCAAGCTCAATTTTTACAAAAAAAAATTTTTCTTTTAACTTTTTAAAAAAAGTTGCACAAGCTTGAACACATTTTTAAATTTCAATGGATATTATTGCATGTAAAAGTGATTCAAAGAAGTAGGGCGCTCCTAGCGATATGAACAAAAAAAACATTTTCTAAATAATCAGAACGCTTTTAGGATAATTTTAAAATCAGTTTAAAAAGTATCCTTACCGACACCCTTTTTACAGCTTTTTCTTTTCTTTCTTTTTTTCTTTTTCCCAAAGGAAAATAAATGTTTTTACTATCATTTTAAAAATAAAATATTGAGCTTAATAACGGTATTAAGCTTTAACAAGGTAATAAGCAAATGAAAGATAAAAAACAAAAAGTGTCTAGGGAAAATGAATTTGTTTTTTATTTAATTTAAAAAACAAAATATAAAGCTTCATAAAGCTAAATACTGATAATGCTCAAATTCAAAAAGTGTCCAACCTTATTGACCCCTCCTCTATGTACTTTACGAAAACTGTAGTTAAAGCTATATAATAATTAAATGATTACAGAGGAAAATGTTACTTTAGCTATTGTTACTGTTGTTGCGTCTGATTATGCCGCCTCTCTCTAGCTCTTTCAATGTGCCGCTTTCGCTCTTCCTTTGTCCAATACCGACCGATCTTGACTTCAGATACTGTATCCTCTTCCGTTGTGGTAAGCTCGTTACAGCGCATGTTTTTCCGGATAGCAATTTGGTGACGATTTCGCACTGGTCTTTTTACAATATATCTCGTTCCGTCTGGGCGTCTCTTTACTTTCCAAACCATTGGAATTTCGTCACCGTTTTCGCCATTGGGCAGTCCAGAATTTCGGTTTGAACTTGTGGATTCATGGCATCTATTTGCAACCTATAAACAAATAAATTAGTCGAAAAAGGGAATACTTTAAAACAATGAATCGATTACTTTCTTTAAACAAAATTCCACAAAATGGCCTCATTTTTCATAGTTGTAGTGTAGCTCTTTAAGTTTAAATTTGTTTTTCTAAAAATTTCATTAACAATCACAAGGGCAAAAAAAAGGCAATAGCCCTTAGAATGCTAGTGAGTTTACTATAAGAATTACTTTGGCAAGCCAAAGAAATAAAATATTCTTTAAAACGACTATATTTTGATTTCTTATGAGTATTTGTGTAAAAAAATAAACTACATCGAATTTATCCGATTGTCCGTAAACCATTACAATTTCTTAAATGTCATTATAGTCGTCTGATCCGGCCTGTTTCGACTTATACACTTACTGCTATGGCAAGACTACTTTTGGGTAAGTTTCAAGCAGATGGCTTTAAGACTGAGAGACAAGTTTGCATAGAAACAGACGGACTGACTACATTGAATATGTCTTATTAACTTCAATGCACACACACACACTGAAATTATAAGGGTACTACAAAGGTGTAGAAACATGAAATTGACTATTAGATAACCGTTAACCAGGTAAAAATTTAAAAATAAATATTTGCCGAATAATACGAGCTAAGAGCCAGCAGCACCCCCTACAACAGCGATTACCAAGTAACTATCCAATCACAGCAGTCGACACACAAACAGTGACAAGTTTCGCCGTGCAAATTACTCACACAAATTAAGTGCGATTATGCGATAGTATTTATGGTGACCGCTGCTCTTCATGCATGAAATGCCAATAGTACTGGTTTACAATGTGCAGATGAACCTTTCCTAAAATATCAAATTCGAATATTGCCGCTCTTAAATTCTTATTTCACAAACGAAAACTTAGACCCCAAAATGATTTTACAAACTGTGTAATCTTCTATACACGGCAGATGTTGCCACAAGCCAGCGCCTAATGACATCCACCTTTTCCAACGATGAAACAAGCGTTTGTATATTTGTATTAATCTATGCTTTACAACACTGTTAGGGCAACGACTGTAGCAGCAACTGAGAACTAGTTCAAAGAACATAGTCACAAATCTCTTTAATTGTATATTTTAGTGTTTAGTGCTTAGAATTTTATTCAAAATTCTGTTTACAAAAGTGGTATAGGGATGTTATGAAGCAAAGCTCTAGAAGAATTTGCAATAAAAAATGCTTTGCTCCTACGGAAACAACAGTTTTTTATTTCGGGCACACAATAAAGTTTAAAATAATCCGGCACGAAACTATGTGCAGTATAAAAATTAATACATTTTGCTTGTGTAACTTAGATCGGGTTATAGAAGTGGCAGCTGGGGTGGGTAAGAGCACAGACGGCAGATCCCATGAATGTGACTTTACCGGAAACTATTAGGAAAAGCTTAACTCGACTTAATATTAAAAAGAAAAACTTCCTGCGAAAAAGCCACGCCAACAAAGCTGTTAAATATTTAACTTTGTCTACTGAAGCAGGCCATCCGCTGGCGAATTTCGATTAAATAAAAAAAGTTGGTTGGTTTGATTTGCTGACATGCTGCCTTTGAAAATGTTCGACAATTGAATGTTCGCTAAGATTCTTGTGCAAATAAAATTCTTGTGCAACGAACAGGGAATAGGGAATATTTGAGGGGTAATTCGTACACAAGAATAAGAACCTGACAGGCTAAATTAGCGAGTCGTAGCACTTACCTCCTGACTACTTACGAAGTGATAGCTACTCAAATTTGGCGCGTTGAACTGTGGACAATGGCTATAGGGTTCTTCAGTTTGCTTAACTCCCAATAACTTAAGGTCGTTTTTGAGTTGAATGTTCTCATTTTCGTAGCTTGCCTTGCTGTGACTCTCTGAAATAAAAAGCAAAAAAAGGCTTGTATAGATCACTAGCAAGTAAATCATAATTTTAATGTTTTCAAGAATATTTAATTTTTGCAAAGCTGCAAGGGTATGTGAACTTCAATTGCCAAAGTTTGCTTCCTTTCTTGTTTTTATGTTAAATTGAATCTTATTTTATTTTGTAATTGTGAATTATAAATCTCGGTTCATCTATGGGTACTTTCGCTACTGGTAGTCGCAAAAATCAAGTCAAATTTGTGTACATTTTTCATATTCGCGGAAAACTTACAATTAAAACAAATACAGAGAATGAAGTATGTGCTTTTTGTTATGGCAAAACACGCCAATTTAAAATTTGAGTATTTGTTTGTTAAGAAATAGCTAATAAATTTGTTGCGATTTTTGAATGGTAGCATCGCATTTAAGAGTATTAGAGTCACAACGTGGTTGTACGCTATAAACTTGTACTACTACTGGGGACAAAAGGTAAGGACAATTTTCAATTTAAACTTTTTGGACCCAACATTTCGGACAAAGAGGATCGGGAATGTATTGATGACTTGGGTCGCTCCGGACGACCATCGACGTCAACAGATGACCAACTCGTCATGAAGTGAAGAAATTAGTGCACAAAAACCGGTCGGTTGACTGTTAGACCACTACTGATATGATAGGAATATTAGAGATAAACTGAGCTGAGATGCTGATCAAGAATATACAAACTTTAGAAGGCTTTAAGTTCTCTTCTTCGATGCGAGAAACTATAATACCCTCTGCGAAGCATTCCGCCTGATTTTAGCATTTTTCGGGAAAATTTTAATAAGAATTTTTAAGCCATCTAGCTTAATACAGTCCTCTCTAACACTGGTAAGGAAAGTCTCATATTTGCAACGAAATAACAATGAACTGTAATATTGATTTACCTACCGCTGACATACGCTGTTGGCAAATTGGAAGAACAAAGACCAATACGACCAGACTTTCCAAATGGCAACAGCAACATACTGCTCACAGCAGTTGAATCCACTGAGTCTCTGGGGCCATCAGTCACTGAGTTTTCTATCTTTTGGTTGGCAGTGATATCGTCATCAACATTCGGTATATTTTGATGGGGCGAGGCACTATTGTTAGAGCCACCAGTGTTGTAGGCACTCGATGAGTTGTCAACTTCTTCGCCAGGAGCCACGTTTCCACCAACAATATTGTTTGCTCCATAGCCGCTATATGCAACTCCACTACTGCTGGACCGGCTTGTGTTGGTCAATGTGCTGCGCAATGTAAAAACACGACTACAGGTCGGTTGTTGGCTTAATTTTAATGGTGGGGGTCGACCAACCAGCGTATGCATAGCTCTGGGATAATGCGGTTTTAAGCCCAACCACTGGGCGACTCGCTGAGTTTGTTGCTGCATTGTCGTTTCTAATGCTTCAGCCGGAGTCGCCGCTAGTGCGGATGAGCATGAACCCATTGAAGTTTTGCCGTTTGAACTCTGATACGGAGAACAGTAAAGTGGTTCAGACTCGGAATCTTCTGGAATGGTCTCGTAGATGTGCTCGCTTTCGTCGTAATCGTATTGGACTTGTACTTGACTTTCGCTTGAAGATGGATTTAAAGTTGTTCGATGGTCCAAAATTGCATCTGGATGAAGTTTTATTTTACTACACGACTTTACAGATTGGTCAATCATTTTTTTCGGCAACGAAGATATTTTGACATTGGAATCTAATGGCTGCTGATCAGATGGCGACTGACAGCATTTGGTTTCGTTGGATATTTCTTCAAAAGTTTGAACGTGACTTATTAGGACCTTGTCCAATTTATCCACTACATTTGTGTAGTCATCTGGTAAAAATGTATTGGCGTATTCAAAATTAATGTCTTCGTCGTCCTCGTCTTCCTATTAAAATCAAGTTAATTATATCATAATTAGTCAAACGCGTAACTTCTAAAACTCAAGTCAGTGCCTAATTAAAGTGGTATTTATTATTTACATTATTTTTGATACTTAGCTAACCTTTAAAAGGACAAAATGAAAAATGTGATCACTTTTTGCGAGTTAAATTTTTGTAAGCCGGCTCAGGGTCATGAGATAATGGAAACATTAAAAAACAAAATGTTTTAATAATTTCCCTTCGATATTTTTCGGTTGCTTCAACGACAACCGTCTTCAGGGCAAATTGATTACACGTCTGCACCGCTTATGCGCTTATGACACTTCATTGCTGACCTCATTCATTGCTATTTTATTTTAAACTATTCGATTTTACGTAAGTGTGAGCAAAACAAACGTATGACGATTCCAATGAGCAATGACTGAAGAAAATTGACAGAAACCGATACCCGATAGTAAAAATACTAGACGGAATTGTGTAAAAAAAAATACCATTTGATAAAATACCACCGGGGCGATACATCAATGGTCAAAATTGTATTTAAAAAGTACAATTTTGCTAATTTATTGGAGTTCACGACAAAACGTATGGAAAAAGCGAGGCTTCAATGTATAAGAACTATTTTTACTATTTTTAGCGAGATAAACTAAAAACAACAAAGTTTGAATTTAATGTTAACGTTATCTCAAGCAGTATCCACATAGTTGTCTCTGTTTCTGAGCTTCAATGAATCCGTCAGTGAATGAGGCGAACATTGTATTGTCATACCCGTATTAACGTGGAGTCTCGTAAATTTAAAATACATTTTAATTAGGCACTGTAAAAACAAACTCAATCTTACAGGGTATAGAATTCGACTAACTAGGAGCGTTACTGCGGTGCTACTATCCGCTATCTGTGCTTCCACCTCGTCCTGGTTTTTCACATCCACACCGTTAACACGTAGTATCTGGTCACCCTGTCGTAGGCGACCATCTCGATGAGCTATACTTTCCGGTTGTATACCACTGATAAACACATCCTCGCAGTGCTCTGAATCATTGCACACTACATCACATTTATTCGTATCGATGTTTGTCGATTGAAATCCAGAGGAGCAAACCAGGAGCCCAATTTGATCACTGTTTGCATTTTCAACCGTCTTAATGAGCGTTACTTCCTGTTAAATAAAAAACAATTTAAACTTGATTAAACTTTTTGGAAAGAAAATTAAAATTTCATACTTTTTAACCGTATGAGTATAGAACTAATTTAACTTTTACTTGGATTTGAACCTTACAAAAATCGGTCAACTGTAGGTTATAGTTGTCATAGGACAATTTGTTAAAAAATCTTCAAAACTTAGTTGTTATTTAATTTATACGAGTTGAACTCTAGATACATTAATTGATTACGATTTCAGATATTTAAAAAAATCATCTATAAGGTGCATACCTTATACCCTAACTAGTAAACACAAGAAAGACTATTAGGTACACGTTACTCAGCTAACAAACTGTAAACTAACTTTTATAGTTATATATATATATATATATTTAGTTTTATATACACAGACGCACAGGCAGACGGACATGGCTAGATCGACTCGTCAATTTAAAGGGACAGAACCGCTTTATTCTACCTGTAACATTCTTTTCAACGATTACAATTTACCGGGGATACATATATGAGGCAACATTTTACCTTACCTAGGTAAAGATTTGTATTTATCTTCACAATACGCTATGTTAGGAACTGAAATTTATTTTTTGTTTTCAAATTAGCTTGATATTAGTAAATAAATTTTGCATTATTTTAGAAATTACCTATGATATAACAAGAAAAGAAGCAAACTTCGACAAGCCGAAGTTCATGCACCCTTGCAGCTATTGCTAAATTCAAATATTCTTGAAAATACTTAAATTTCGATTTATATTATGTATTATTATGTTTTTAAATTAATTTTGTTTAATATTCCGATTGTTTCCATGGGAGCAATATAATATAAATGTAAAACAAGAAAGGAAACAAAGGATAACGAGATAATCGTTAGGCTAAAACACAAAGCTTGAATTGTGTCGGTCCTGTTGTGTAAAGGCCACGTATTTAAACAAATTTATTTGTTGTTAGCTACCTCAATATCGATTTCCGGCTCCAAACATTGTTCAAACAAGTGGTGTTCCTGCTCGATAAAGTGGTCGGTCAGAGTCTGAACTATGTCGTGATCTTTTAAGACGTCTGTTTGGATCGAGGTATGGGTCTGCGTTTCCTTCGAAGCGGCAAAAACTGCGGAGCGACCTGACCGTTCTTCATGGCTTAAAGCACGCAGAGTTAAGATGACAGGATTCTTTGTTGTGATTGCTTCCGAAGCCGCAGGAATTGTCGAGGGGGTGGAATCCACTTGTTGAGAGGCACTGGCAGTTCTTGTGGACGCTGATGGGGCTGCTTCGACTGGTTTTGCTAGTAGGGTAGAAAAGACTGGCTCGCAGGTGTTTAATTGCAAAATCGGATCGATTTTGTCCACATCGGATAGTTTGGTGTTGGCGTCTGGTTCTAACATTAAATCTAATTCATTGTGCTTCTGTCTGCACAGTTCAACTACTAGGGTTTCTTTAGCTTGAAGGAACTTTTGAACCGCTTCATACCTTGGCAAATTGCTAATATCGTAACCATTAATCTGAAACAAAAATCGTTTTTGTAATGCTTTGCAAAACGAAAATGCTTAATGCGATACTAATACATAATATTCACTCATCCGTACGTCTATAAGCGATCCCTTTTTGTAAACTTACTTTTAACACAACATATTCGTACTCCACCTCAACAACGCAATTATTCATATTGGTTACTTATTACAAAAACTCATATTGTATTTTCATTTAATTGTATACATATTTTTTCGACTGCTGGAAGTGTGGCCAAACTAAGACTCTAATTTTACGACACTTAAGCATCCATCTCGATAAATATTATAGTCGATACTTAAGGTAATCGGTCCCGATCTCAGCATGTTTTTCGCGGCAAATTGCCTGTTCACAGAGGCAGCATATCTGCAACAGCTACTATATTCTGCAACAGCTTTTTTTCTTATAGCCTGATTCCACTGCCGCATTAGTGGACTGTTTGAATGTGCCTGATTCGATTGGCGCATTAGCATTTAGGCACTGCCACTCCGGCCTGTGAGTGGCACGAACAGCTGATCTGGGTTTGTTTACTTTTGAATTATCGCCAATCAAAACGAAATTAATTAAAAATCATGAATTTGAGAGAGTGTACGGACATCTTTAATGCTCAGCAGGACATCCATAATGCGACCGAGGCATTTGCCAACTTGAACGACAAGGAAGGGGAGTCACAATTTCTAAAATGGAGCAAAGATTCCCGTACATGTTGGAGTTTTTTCATGCCAGAGGCAATAGAGCGGTTCTTGTTTTCAGTAATTTGTACGTAAAATAGGTTTAATATTCAAAAGAAATCAAAAATGTCGCCATCCTAACGAATAAAACCAGCTGTTGCAGTGGTGGCACTAACGAAATATCGTTTGATATCAGTATTTTCCGGTATTTTTTTCTTAAACAAGTTGCGGGCGAATGAATCGGAGTTTCACATTTGTTGAAAATGCCAACCGTTTCCCACGGATAGACTGTGTGGAAAGAGGGCAAAAAGAGTTAGTGCTTGAAAAGGAAATGTAATATTCACATGCTTAAATGGCAGCATCAGTCTTCAAATATGCGATTTAAATCAAGTTTCATACTTATTATTCTTAGTGTTGTAGAAAAAAATGAGTTCCCCAAAATCGACTGTGGTAGAATAAAATTCTATTCACACAAGCGGCTTTTATGCAACAGTGGATTTTTCAAAAGGCTGGAAGATATTAACTGGGAAAACCAGCAGAAATTAATGGACCAGGAAGTTGTGGTTACCATACCACCCACCATAGACCATCATAAGAGGATAAATTACTATCTTAGAAAAAACTATTTATTTGTTAATGTTAAAATTGTTTTTAGTTTTTCGTTAATATCCATTTTACTGAATATTACATTTTGTGTTCTCTTTTTCTTCTTGTTAGGTTGGTTTGCTACAACTATGCGGCTGTGTACAGAGGTATAATGGAAATTAAAACGTTTATGAGATTTTTGGACGGCAAGCCTGTTGCGAGTCCTGTCTGAAACTAGTATAATCGAAAAATATTCGGTATTCCAACTGTACTAAAAAACGAAATAATCCGATATACATACCACAAATTTTCGATACCTTTACAGCCTTCGGTTTTAGTATTTTTGTTGAATCTGCCGGAGGAATAAAAATAATATAAATTTGCCAATAGTACAGATTTGTGCAAGTATTCAAGTAATTCACAGCCTTAAAAAACCAACAATTTTGTAAACTGTGTACTCGCAGATGGTATTACTTATAACCGTGGTAAGAAGTTTGTAAGAAAATAACAAAACAAATGCAAAATTGTATTAGATGATGAACAACTCCGCTACTACGTACATATGTATGTATGTATGTATATTGAAGAACAATGTTGTCTGATAAGGGGTGTTCCCCCTTAATTTAGTTGTTTTGGGATGGTCTAGGGGAAATATTTTTTTTATTTAACACTGAGCTTTATTGAACAAAAGAAAAACAAGAAAGGAAGCAAACTTCGATAAACCGAAGTTCATATACCCTTGCAGCTATTGCAAAAATTAAATATTCTTGAAAACATTAAGATTATGATTTACTTGCGTATATGTTTAACAACATTAAGCTATGATGATTTTCACCTCAATTATTCGATAGTTCCTATGGCAGCTATATGATATCGTTTTCCGATTTTAATAAAATTAAAAGCGTAATTCATATTGATATGTCAAATTATTAATTAGTCAACAAAAATTTCAAAAAAATTACAAAATAAAAAAGTTAAATTAAAAAAAAAAAAATTGTTTTTAATATTTTTATGTTATAGTTGTCCGATTTTGTAATTTAAACCGTAATTCTGAAATATTTAACCATTACTAAAGATGGAAGAACTAAAAAAAAATTTAAAAACAGCAAAGTTATAATATTTTTCATTTATTTTTTCGATTGCTCCTATGCAGATAGCTTTTAAACTGAGACACTAGTTTGCGTAGAAACAGACGGACAGACGGACATGGCTAGATCGAGTCTCTTAGTGATGCTGATCAAGAATATATATACTTTACAGGGTCGGAAATGTCTCCTTCACTGCGTTGCAAACTTTTCCTCTGCAAGGGTATAAAAAGGAACAAGTTATTAGTTAGTATATCACAAAGAAGAAATATTAATTTATATTTAATATTAACATGATAAAATCCCTTTTTTAAATTTACCGTGAAAAAAAATTATGAGAACGCGGAATATACATGTTGTAGACTGAAATAAATTTATTTAGAAAATTTTAAATATATATATATATATATATATATATATGTATCTATATATAAAGCTATCAGTACGAAAACTAGGAATCAACGCACAGCCAAATCCACTGATTAACAATATTAATATGCATTTTTATTACATTCTAATAACTTTGAACTGATTTGCTAAGATTTATAGAGGCTCCCCAAGTGGCCCCAATCGATTCCAATTGGAAAAAAGATCAATTTTCTTTTCCAAAATTCTGGACGCTAAACCGTTTAACCTATCGATTTCCCCAAAAAATAGTTTAAAACATTATAAATGTTTAAAAAATTTTACCGCTTAGACTTAAGGCTTTTTACTAGTTTTAACACACGTTCCAAAATTACAATTTAGCCAAAAATCTCTTCAAACGTCGAAAAATGGCACTTCTAAACTGAAAAGCAAAAATTCCTTCGGTAAAGTTTTTCCTTAAGCTTCAACGATTCATTTGATGCTTTGGGGGAAACCACATTAAAACAAGAAAGAAAGCAAACTTCGGCAAGCCGAAGTTCATATACCCTTGCAGCTATTGCAAGAATTAAACATTTTTGAAAACATTAAAATTATAATTTACTTTCGTATCTGTTTGAAGCTATGATGATTAGCAGCTAAATTATTTGATAGTTATTTTATACATTTTTATTATTTCTATGGGAGCTATATGATATAGTCGTCCGATTTTGATAAAATTTAAACCATAATTCTGAAATATTTAACCATTGCTATATGTCGAAGAACTAAACTAAAAGTTATAATTTTTTTTCAATTATTTTTCCGATTGTTCCTATGGGAGCTATATGCTATAGTCGTCCGATCCGGCTCGTTCCGACTTATATACTACCTGCAATAGAAAGACAACTTTTGGGAAAGTTTCATGCAGATAGCTTTAAACTAGTTTGCATATAAACGGACGGACAGACGGACATGGCTATATCAACTCGTCTAGTGATGCTGATCAAGAATATATATACTTTATAGGGTCGGAATCGTCTCCTTCACTGCGTTGCAAACTTCTGACTGAAATTATAATACCCTCTGCAAGGGTATAAAAAAATGTGCCGTATCCTATACCTCCGGGTGGTGTGGGCACCATGCTAGTATATATATATAAATATAAAAAAAAATATATAAGCAAAAAACATTTTTGATTTAAAGAATACTATTTAAGAAACCCAATCGAAGATTGGTAAATTTATAACCAAACAAAAAGACATTCCAGTGATAACATCTTTAAGAAGCTTTTATTTAATTAAGACTTTTACATCTGTCAAATCTTTTCTTAATCCTTGTTTTTACCCTGTATTCTTTTTCAAATACATAAAAATAAGATAATATCGATCTCAAGGTGTGCATAGTTTTTGTATAATTTAAAATTAATGCTGTAAAGCACCATAGATTCAAACATAAATATATGTTATATGTGTATAAATATGAATTGTTTATTGTTTCAGATTAAATATGGCAACACATGAAGGAATCCATTCATACTTTTCAAAATTAAGTTCCCTCTCTGAAAAGATTACGCGCGATGTAAATAATGTAAAATCTGCGTACAGTCGAGAAGCCTGGCTTACATTGACTTTAAGTGAACAGGAAAAAATATTAAACAGTCACTTAATAAATCCCGATATATATACCAAGTACTATAATAGGCTCGAGGAACAAAAACGACAAATAAAAACAGATAATTTCAAAAATGACCAAAAACTCTGCTTTAGTGACGCTGTATATTCATTTAACGGAAAAGACCTGCACACGTATATTTTGCAAAATGTTGGCTTAAAAATATTACATGATGAAAATACCAGAGGTTGTCGCGATGAACATTCATTTCCATTTAGTTATCGAACGAAGTCTCAAATAAAAATATCACTGAAGGAATGTGATGCAGTCTCTGATCCCGGAGTTCCCATTGATGCATCAAACGTGCTTTATTTAACGTTAATGACGAACGTTTCGCGCAGCCCAAAACTACCCAGTCTACATACTTATGACTGTGATAAGACTGACGTTAACCAGAGTAAAGTAATTACCAATCTAATAAGCGACCAAAAAAGTATATGTGTATATAATAATGAGGAATGTTTTGACTCGAATGAAGAACTGCAACTCTTGGTTAGGTTTGGATCAAAAAGCAGTATGTCGAACGACGTGTCTGATAATGAAAATGAGTTTAAAGATATTCGACAAGATGAAAATGCTAAGCTTTTAACACCTGAAATCCCTAAGGGTTTTGATTTTCTCAATAATTGGTAAAACTCATTTTAAATACATATGCACAAGCGATTCCATTTATAACATCGCTAAACATTTACAACATAAAATTTCATCTGATGCTCTTTTTTAAATAAAACAAGCATACATTTTTCAAATAATCATACCACAAAACAATCATTGTTTTACTCTAAAGCAAAACATTTAAATATTCACAGTTAATTAACCCTAAATCGCAGTTTGCAAATCTCGGGGATGGTTCGGCTTTATCCTGTCATAATAACTTTATTACGTTTTTGCTGCAATTGAGAGTAAAAACATTGTCTTGCTTAATGTGTGGCTCAACTTAAAGTAATTTTAAAACTGCAGTGTTTCATAAATAGAGTAATAATTCGTGTAGCTGACATATGATATTTCTATCAGATCTGAAGGGCTATTCAAATGAAGTTCACAAGTTCATGATCTCTGCTTACTTTATATATAGACTTTACTCTGCATTCCAACAAGTTTTACCTAGAAATAGAAAAATTATACAACCGCAAATTTGTAAACATATTTCGTCAGTTATTATAGCTTTTAATAAATTAATTTTCTAGTCGCTTAATAACAATAAAAATCCATAACATAAATCTACAAGTGTTTCCGTTTTTATACACTTGAAAAAATTAAATCGTTTTAAAAGGGCTTCTGCTTCACAAATACGAAGATGGCCGTCAGGTCAATTCCAATTCGTTCGCGGCCAAACTTTCGAGTTGCACCGAAAAAACATTGGCTATATATGGGCAAGAAACGTGCGGTTATGCCCTCTTACCACACAGTCTATCCGTTAGAAACAGTTGGAATTTTCAACAAATGTGAAACTCCTGTTTCCACAGAGCACATCCACATTCCGATATCAGCTGATGTGAACAGTTGTGGCTCATCAAAACGTAAACAAAGTCAACAGGTCAACCATCTATGTTTACGATTTAACGAGCTACAGCTGTTAAGATCAACTGAAATCGGATGGTGGATTCGTCAGTCAGAGTTTAACGGCGGACTAACTTGGTTGATTTTGGAACGGGAAAACCTTATGTACCATCCCTTCAACGGATGGTGGAAAGTGGATGGGTCTCTGTGGAAATACGCTATTAGGAACGTTAATTCCACCGTTAAGGAATACGGGAAATTTTTAGCACGGCAAAAGGTTTTCCGTTTCTTTGGTGGACGGTGGATGGTGAAAGGTTGATGTTGGCTCTGTGGGAACACCAGTCCACCATGAAAAATCCCAAATCGCTTGGATGTGGGACTGGGCTATTACGGACCATCTTTGAAGGAGGTGGTGGATGGTACTCTGTGCAACTAGGCCATAAGTGATTAATAGCCGGATTCCATTGGCGCATTAAAAAGCAACCAGCCTAACGCGCATTTATTTACACAGGGAATCCCAATGGGATAAATTCTGCATTTAAAATAAATGCGATAAATAAATACGATTAAAAATCGTTCGCCCGGAAAATACCGTTTCATTAAAGCGTTGAGTAAACACACTCTTATCCAATATTTTTGATAAATTTTTTATGGATTTGCTAAAATTCAAAAGTAAACAAACCCAGATCAGCAGTTTTTGTCATTCACATGTCGGAGTAGCATCAGTGAAATGCTAATGCGCCAATGGAATCAGGCACATTTAAAAAGTTCACTACATGGAATGTCTGCATTTAGAATTCGGGAGTACCCTATATACTTATGTCTCAGCTTAATTCGATTATTATCAATTACTATCGAAACTATCGGTTGACTAAGAAAAAGCATATTATCGCTTGTCGTTGTCCAGACGAAGAGCGAGCGAGAGCGTCGTATAGTTTATTTTTAATTCAATTCAAGCGCGTGTGTTAAAATGAATTAGCACGATTAGTGAATGTTTATGTGTGCGTATTCATCCAAAAACAAGCGCTGTGTCATTGAAACAAAAGGCTTTGGGAAATTTCAGTACCAACAGATTCTATATAAGTGTTATTGTGTTAGTGCAGACACTCAAATCAAATTAAAGAAAAAAGGCATGTATGCTTCAAGACGGACTTTTTTTGACAAAAAAAGAAACTGGCAGACATAACCTAAATATGCATAACCTAAATGGTCTTAAAAATTCAAGCGAATAGTTTCTAATATATGTACATATGTGTGTATCAGTGCAGAATAAATTCTGTTCGTTTATGTATCATGCATTGGAAAGTGATTGTTATATGAACATACATACATATATGTCTGTTCCATATTAAGAGTTGCCACGCTTTAAATATTTTACATAATGACGTATAAGCATCTCAGATTTGGCAATTTGTGGCCAAAACTGTTGTCATTATCAGTACCAAGCCAAAAAAAAATTGTACTTATGTATTTTAGCTGTATTGAGCTACTTTTTTTACCCTTGCCTCCTAACACCTATAGTTACCATTTTATGTTTGGTTTCCGACTAGGTGGCAATATCGACGGCAGCCATAGCTGTATGCGTTCACCAAATACAATAGTAACTTGTACCGTCCCCGTCGTTAAACGTGCACCGAAATTTAAATTCAACTACAACGAATGTATTATTCTCTGTTCAAAATTATTTTCACATTTAAAATAATTTTAAATTTAAAAATGACATTAATATATTTTGTGAATTGTGAAAAATTGTAATTGAGTGCCGAATGTGTGTATGTTTTACTACATATACACACTTTGTGAAATCGTCAAAGTGGCTTGGCATGCATACATACACAACAATACATACATATGTACTTATATAGAGAAAATCAACTTCTCGTCGGTATAAGCAAAAATTCTTGCAAATATTCTTCGGTATATTCGCAAAGAAACAAGTGCTTAAATTTAATATATTCGCAGTTCTAAGTAAAGGATAACATTTTTCCCTCTGGTAGGTTCTTGAATCTCCGTCTTGTAATTATTTCTGGTTTTTGCTTGTATTGTCTGTACACATAGGCAAATGAACACGCGAATATACTAGTTAATTGCAAATATCAACGTTACATAGCCGAGTATAGAAAAAAGCCTTATATGTATGTATGTATGTATGGAAATACGTTGAAATACAATTTTATCTGTTCATATTCAGTAAAAGTAACTGATTTAGTCACCCCTGTAATATTTTAAAATCAAACTTTATTTGTGCTAACTGGCGACAGCGAAATTAGAAAAGGTAGACTTAAAATAGGGTGATTGCGTCAATGATGGCTGCCGGACCAGAGTTGTCAAATAAGTTCTACATATATATGTATGTATGTATGTATGTATATACCAAAATAGTGGTGTATCTACATATGCAGTGGATAAAATTATTTCCTATACTGTGCAAATTCAATATTGCAAGATTGCTTAAATTATGTCTTCTCCCACGTGAATTAGAACCTAAATATTAATACACTTATACATATTTACATATATATATTTTTAAAGAAAATCAAAATTGCCTGTTGTGCAGCAGCCCTGGTAGTGCAGCGTTCGTTATAAGATCAATATGTACATACAGTGGGCAAAAAAAGTTTGGGAACGCTGAAACTTCATATAAAATGTTCGTAAACTTTTTTTGCCCACTATATGTATAAATGTCAAATTTCTTGAAGATGTACACAGTATGTTGTTTTCACATCAATGACTTAAACAAATGTAATTGGAATTAAAGCGAAGTACTATTAAATTGTTGGTACAAAATAAAAGCCAACTTTTATTAAGAAGATAGAAAACTAATGACGATCGCACCTTAAACAAACATTTTCTAAAAATAAATAAATAAATATCAAAAATCAAATCTCATTTTGTTCGGGAAATAAGGATATGACTTTTCAAAACCTCCTGACGATTGTTCTTCAAATGCTAAAAATGATGTACAAAATCATTTGGGTGTTCCCTAAAAGACTAAATCACTGAATTCTTGAAATTTTCAGCAATTGAGGGAACGAACCAAGTTGTTTCTTTTTCAAACAGCTGTTTCATCAAACAGACGTTACAGTTACTGTTTGTAAGTCGCCCTAGCTTTGTCTGTCGAAGCTAAGGCTTTTGCTTACATTTCAGCAAGTTGAATTTGTATGGAACAGCTGACCGAATTTCAGCAGTTCAGAGATTCTGTCGTTTGGTGAATACCCAAAATATTTTCTTTTACATATGTAAAAAGATATCTACACATGTATTTATTTTTTATATATTTTTAACAACACATACCCTTTTAGGTTTTAGAGGCCAAACAAAAATTACATTTTAAGTATCTTCAAAAAATTTCAACCAAATGTATTGACATATAGGGGCGTGGCAGTCAGGCTTTGGCTCCCCTTTCGCAAGGTTGTTAGCGGTGAACATCATACGGCATCGCAGGATCATCAACAAAAATAGATTATGCTTCGTTTGAAAAGTAATATAATGAATATATAATGAATATATAATATCACGTAGCATTCTTTTGTTTTCAATTTATTATTATATTTTCAGTATTTGGAAGTAAAAAATTAGTTTATACCCTTGCAGAGGGTTTTATAATTTCAGTCTGAAATAAATAATAAGCGTCACAAAATCTGATATCAGAAGTATTTGGAGTTGAAGGTGCGATCGTCACGTTAATTTTACATGTTTGAAAATACACTACGACCATGAATCGTCCTTTATGACTTGGCAATTGAAAAAACCATTGTACTTCGTTCTGACAATGCGTGAAAATTGTACAGCACAGTTTAATTTAAAATGACCGTTGCGGGTGTCTCTATAAAGCTATACCAAAGCCTGCTTTTTGTATATTTTAGTTAACTCGAGCTGTTAAATTGGTGTCAGGATCCTAAAACATCGCTTTGATACGCACGGACAAACCAACAGACAAACTATTTTTATATTTGTATCTATGTAATTCCGCCAAAATAAAAAAATATATTTTTTTTTTATTAGATTTAATAAATTGTGTTTTTAAATTTAAACTTAATATATATATATTACCTATGGGTAGCCTAAATTCGCAAATATTTGCAATGAGTTCGCAATGTCTTAATTGAGAATTGAACTGCGAACTCTCAAGAATAAGACATGTAAGATTTTGGTCTTCGCGATGACTCGTTGGCTTTTTTTTTTATCGTGCTCAACTACAAACCCAAATGTGGCGGTCGAGTCCGCCCTAAACTAAAAAAAAATCGCC